GTGCATCTGGGCCTCTGGACATTTCCCGATCCTGCTGGCTTTCTCTCCCTTTCTCCAGGCTGGGCTGCCTCACTTTCTCTTCTGCTCCCTTCCCCTTGATCATTCCCTGCCATAAACTTTCTTCTCCTCCTTATCACTGGAAAGTCTACTCCTCAGGCAGCTGTGCTTGCAAACAGCTGGCTCCAAAGCAATGCCCAGGTTGTCCGTCACGGACTCTCCCCGCTCAGCAGCCCTTGATATGGGAGGACAGGATACCAAGGAGACTCTGGCTCCTCCTTATCCCTCTCCTACCCCCGAACGCACAAAGGGCCCTGAAAAGGCCTCTGCCTTCAAGCCATCGGCCTTACCTGAGAGCGGGAGCTGGGCCTGCAGGGTGACCGCGATAACCAGCGTCTTCGCCTTCATCCTGGCCTCCCCAGCACAGTACCAACAGGCAGGGGCTCAGGGGGCTGCAGCCCAGTCACAGAGGAAAGAGGGCTCTAAGGAGTCTCTGCCACAGAAGTCTGCTGGCTGTGTCTTCTCCTCAGGAAGTGGAGGCCTGTGGGCCTTTGAGAAAGTACCTGCCAGCCGGGCTGAGAAACTCACTCCCCCTTTTGGCTCACAGGCAGGAAGCTCCGGAGGTTTGAGGGTTTGGGGTGTGAGTGTGTGCATCAGCCTGACTGTCTCAATTTTGCTTTTCCGCTCTTTGGACCATTATTCTATGGCCCTTTATTTATTTATTTATTTATTTTCCTAATTCTTGTCTAATTTCCATCTCTCTTGACTGGTGAAGTCAGTCCCAAGGCAAATGAGAGTTCCCAGTGCATGTGAGAGCAATTGCCACTTTCCTAGACCCTCAAGCGTCTTCGGCAGGTCAGTAAGGTGAAGAGGCGGGACTCAGGGTTGGGCCAAGTGTAGCCACAGACACCCCCACTACCACCTCCTTGCTGTGTGGCCTTGTGGAAGCCCCACAGTGCCCCCAAACTTCAGATTTGGACCATTATTCTATGGCCCTTTATTTATTTATTTATTTATTTTCCTAATTCTTGTGTAATTTCCATCTCTCTTGACTGGTGAAGTCAGTCCCAAGGCAAATGAGAGTTCCCAGTGCATGTGAGAGTAATTGCCACTTTCCTAGACCCTCAAGCGTCTTTGGCAGGTCAGTAAGGTGAAGAGGAGGGACTCAGGGTTGGGCCAAGTGTAGCCACAGATACCCCCACTACCACCTCCTTGCTGTGTGGCCTTGTGGAAGCCCCACAGTGCCCCCAAACTTCAGTGATCAAGGGGGAGTGGCTCTGAGCCTGGAGATCTGAACGTGGCCTCAGTGAGGACCTCAGGATACCATAAATACTACAGCTCACACAGTGCCTCTGACACTTGTGACTTGTGACATTTTAGCATTGAAGTAAGTTACAATAACATCAATAAAATCTGAAATTGATCTTAATTAAAAATAGTAAGATCTATATGAAAATAACTGTAGAACACTACTGAAAAACACAGAAAGGACAAGGGCAATTGGAAAGATTTATCTTTCTTTGATAGGAAGTTCCCCCTCAAGAATTCCCTAAATGAATTAATCTGTCTCTTTAAATACCAATACTGAGGTACGAAGTGTCTGGCATGTAGTAGGTGCACAATAAATATGAGTTGTATAAAATAGTTGAATAATCAAAATTATTGCAGTTACTGCTACATGCTGTGAAGAAAGAAAATCGGTGATGAAAAAGTGATTGTGGAGACCTACATTTATGAGGTACGAGGCATGTAGTAGGTGCACAATAAATATGAGTTGTATAAAATAGTTGAATAATCAAAATTATTGCAGTTACTGCTACATGCTGTGAAGAAAGAAAATCGGTGATGAAAAAGTGATTGTGGATTGTGGAG